ATTCATGTTTTTGCTCAGGAGACGCCACTGCCCCCACCCCTCATGTACATCTTTCCTTTTTATTTTTCTCCTCATGGAAGTAATGGTGTCCTCTGTCAGTTTTTTTTTTTTTTTTTTTGGTTTACTCTGAAATACTTTAACCCTTCAGAATCTGGCCTACTTATAACAGAGAGGAAAAAATGGGATCACCTTGACAATCCTTCAAGGGCACACACATATACGTACACACACACACTTCCAGTTGCTTTTCATCCCACCAGTGATTCAGATATTGATGTTTCCTAACTGGGACAAGGAGATACTTGATAGTGGAGCTAAAAATATCAAACATTCCACCCTATTACTCATGTACACATTACAAGTGTGAATATCAGTGCTTCCTGCACATATACATGCAATACAATTACACACATGCAAAGATTGTTATGAAGGACTAGTATGTGAATCTAAAGGTGAAAAATATGCTGCAATGACAAGAGAAGAGTACAGCTAAGTACAGGCATGAAGACAAAACGATTTATAGCATGAATGCATCATATCTATTTCTAGGTTTATGAGCAAACACTATTCCCAGAGATGTAAACAATCAGGCTTCCTTTTGATGATGAGAATGGACTGTGTACATCATTTAAAAGAAATATTTCAACTAGTGTTCTCACAAATTTTCCCTGCACAAAATTTGTTTTTATAAAGCATGCAGGTTTCAAAAAGGGTTCATAAGCATTGTACACATATTACCACTATTATCTTTTCTTTTCTGGGTCATAGTGGAGCTCGTGCCTTTTTAAGGTGGTCACAGGAGGTGACTGTGTGACCAGAAAGTTGCAAGTTCAGTTCCCTTCCATGCCAATATGTGGTGGTGTCCTTGAGCAAGGAACCTATTCCCTAACTGCTTCCCAGGCGCTTGCATAGATGCTTGCTGCTCCACTTGGATGGATCTCATGTGTGATGGATCAAAAGCAGACGATAAATGTTGTCATTGGAAGGTTACTGTACTTTCAACAATGACAGTACACACATCACTGTCATTGTGCAAGAGATAGGTACACTTTGGACAGGTTTTCAAGTCCATCACAGGGCCACACACAGACAAACAACTATTTACACTCTCACTCACACCTAATTTTCAGTGACACCATTGGTTCAAGTTACCTTGTTCCTTGGTTCTGTCCTGGATCTTCCTGTCAGTCTGGAACTCTCCGCCTGTAAGAGAAAAACATCTATGATGACTTGGACAGCCAGGAGTTCAATCTGTGATCTTCTTGCTGTGAGACAACAGCTCTGACCACTGTTCTGTTGTATCGCTCCAAACTTACATTTACCTAATAAAAATGTAAACCAGCACTGAACCAACAGATTGCATATCACCTTCTGGTTTATGAACATCTGGTTTCAAAATATCAACAAGAAGATCCAAGTTATTTTAGCCAGTTTGAAATTCTGAAATGCTCTGCTTTGTAGAGCAAATTTTAATAAGGTTAAAGCAAAGCATAAAAAAAGAGATATATAAACAAATGTAAATAGGTCATTACTGGATAATAGATAAATGGTCAATATAGAAAAACTGACCCTACTGGAAAACTTGTGTCCTCGTGACCAACTGGTAATTTTATTCCGATAATACAAGTGAATCAATGAGAAAATTGGTACATTGGTATATAAATAATGATTGACTGACATGCTTGCTCATATTTGTGGTATTTCTCTGAAAAGTGATAGGAATAACAGGTTATACAATTAACTGATTTGTTTGATTTAATTTACCTTTTACCTACATTCAACATTGATATATTTTCTAACAGCCAACAATATAATTGTACAAAGTAGGAGCCATGATCATTTTGTAGGATGGGGGTGCAAAACGAGCGTTAAAAGACACTTCATGTAACCATTCTAACTAACTAGTTATCAAAGAAGAACTTTTAATACCAACATTAAATAGTAAACACTGATTTTAATAAAGATGGCAACAAACAGTGTTCTGTCTTAATGTGATCATTTCAAACATACAAGTTGATATAAAGCTTTCACAGACAACAGCATGTACTCTAACTATTACCAAGTGCAATGTGATCTTGAGCAGGCCGGTGTCGACGAGAGCATTTATGCATTTATAAATAGACCCAGAGTGTGGGAGAGACATCAGAGAAACAACCGAGGAATTACAACAGCTGTCATTGCAAAACCAACATACCTACCAAACCCAGTAAGATCTAAATACCAATAAAACCATCCAGAAAGCCAGTTTTCCCCCATCACTTAAGGATTTGAATAGTGAAAGTTTCTAGTCTTCGAGATGAGTGTTTTTCTGGACTGTGACTGAACATGGAATGCAAGTAAACCTTTATGTTTTTTTTGTGAAAAATATTCAAATGGGTAGAAGTAACATTGTGTATAACAACAGTATTTTTTGTTGTTGATTTTATTTTTGTTGTTTTTCTGTCCAAAGTGGAGCATAGTGATGGATCCTGGTGAGTGGAGAGAGCAAATTCATCCACCACCAGGTGTAATGGCAGAGCCAGGGAGTGGCCAGTGGTGACCTTGGCCTCCACAGATTAATCTTCGGCCACCTACAGTAACAGGCCACCCTAATTATTTGAGGAAACGTAGTCAGTAAGTCAGTAAAAATCTGCTACACAGTGTATACATTGGATTTCTTTATGGACAGACAGCAGGTAGTGAGGATGTTGAGGAAGGATCTCCACTAAGCTTACAGTTGGCACTGGACCTCTGCAAGGCTGCTGCATCAGTCCAAAACTCTTCCCCCTCTGCACCCATGACTATCTCCAATCTGGAAAATACATCCATCATTAAATTCATTAATGAGAAAACCATCTTGGGCCTCATCAAGTATGGGGATGAAACATGATAGGCTACAGGACGATGGCAAACAACAGGGAGGAGAATGAGCTCATCCACAATGTAGACGAGATGAAAGAAATATTAATAGACTTCAGAAAGTAAGCCCCCCCTTGTGCAGTCCATCCTCATCATGGGGAAGTTGAGGGTGGACAGCCCAAAGTTTCTTGGCCTAGGCTACATGTAACAGGAAATTTGAGCTAACAGTCAACACAGCAGCCATGGTAAAGAAGGTCCAGGGGTGCCTTTATTTCAATAGAAGGCTCAGGAAGGCTGGGGTCAGCCATCTTCCCCTTATGCAGCGTACAGAGGAATAGTATCACTGTCTGGTTTGACAATATCACTCAGACAGAAAAGAAGGCTCCTCAGAGGGTGATCAAAAATGCAGAGAAAATCATCTGGACTGAACTTTGATCCATGGACACACTATAGCTTACCCACAACACTGTCAGAAAAAGACCAGTAACATCATAAACAGTAGTGGGCACAGTTCAGGTAATACACTAACAGCTAATAGCAGAACAAAACTTTAATTTAGTGGATAAGTGTTTTTGCTAAATGTGAAAAACTTTAGCGGAATAGTTTCTACTAAATTAGGTTTTGCCAACTTTAAGTTTGTAAACAAAATTCATAAGCTTGTTCCAGTGGACATGTCAAAGACCCTGTTAGGTATGCTATTGGCTTGCTATATGCACAAGTGACAAGACGTGATTGATCAACGCAGCTTCAACTGGAAGGAAACAAAGACGTGTGATGCAGACTGAGTGACAATCATCTGAGCAGTTAGTGGTTTACTGTTGGCTTCAGCTAATTTTCTAATCTGTTTAGCAGTTTAGAATTAGCAGAGATAACTTTTTGGTTAGGTGTGCCCACCACTAATTATCAGAGACATACATTCCCCATCTTATTCTCTTTTAAGGCCCAAACACATAACATACAATTTGAAGCGGAGTGGACAGCATTGCCACGTACAAAACACAGTTTTACAATGGAAAAAAAACAAAATGTGAAATATTATCTGTGTACAGTATTTGCTTGTATGTTTTGCATTATTTAATTTTTTTAAGTATTTAAACTTTTTCTTGCACTGACTAATGGACTTTTTTTTTACAAAAAACAAGTTCCTATGTCCTAGAACTAGATGTACATGCACAAATGGCCAGCAAAAGGTCTTGAAACAATTTTATTGTTTTTGATAAAATAGCATTTCACCATTCGGTACATGTCTTAACACAGATAATTCCCTTGGGGGCTTTTGTGGGAGCCAAATCCAAGCTCAGAGATCCACACCAACCAGATCACCATCTAAACACCAAAACTATGGACAGAGACAGTCCGTAGGAAATAATAAGAACCTTTGGAATGCTGCAACATTGCAACATTGGCTGTAACTTTCAAATAGCTTTGCACCTCCTTACCAGGATGCATCGTAGTGATCCTATTCAGATCAGAGTAAGCATCTACACTTTGATCCCTCTGAGGATGTTTTTCTGGGTGCTTACTAACCACATCTAGAAAACTGGAACTGGAATATAAAGACCCCTCACATGACAAATGCCTCTTCCCACTGCTGCAAGATTATGATTGAGTCTCTGATCAAAGAGCTAACAGTATTTCTTTTTCTTTTTCTTTTTTTTGCAAAAGAGTCAATGGTAGAAGACATTACACCACACTGTTGCAAATTTTAGATACAGCCTTTAATTGAGAAGTGGTAAACACAATGTTTGTCTGGAACACACAGCCTCATTTGAAATGCCCTAAAAAGCATTAAAGGGTATCATTATATCAGTGAGACACTTTAACAAAGTTACACTCATTTAATTTGGTGTCACAGCCATGAAAAAAAAGAAAAGAAGGATATACAGTACAGTCATATTTCCCCATCTTCTATTAACATGAAAATAACTCAATGTGGAACAAGTTGGGTATTTCAAGAAAGTGAGTTGTTTTAATGCGATTTCCTTTAGTCTGACCTCACAGTCTTGGTAAAGAATGCTGACATCATCTCTGTCAGATATCTCTGGAGTGTTTTGATAATTAAATGGTGTTTTTTAACAAACTTCTCTATGACTGTTTCTTTTCCAATACAAAACACCCTCCTCACCCCAATTTTTTTACCTTGTCTCTTTTTTTAATTTCAGGTGTATGGAGTGTAGGTGGACTGGAGGTTTCGACAGGAAAAGTTTCATCGATCGAAGCGATGAATGGTTCCACAGTTTTGCTGCCCTGCACTTACTCTTCTTGTATCGGCATCCAAAACCTCTACTTCAACTGGAAATTCAATGACAATGGAACCCTTTTGAAGGTATAAAGATTACTTACACCATCACAAAAAAAACCTAATCACAACTTTTTTTTAATCAATTGCTGTCCTATAGATAAGTTAAATACTATATGCTAAAATGCACAGCCTTAAAAAATTGTTCATCCTTAGTTCTCACTTTTCCTGTATTTTGACCCTATACATTTGTATTGAAGTGAATTTTTAATGGAGCAAAAGCCAAGAACATCTGGCCTTTAGGACTTTTGACCATATCCCCATGTCCCCAAAACAACATACCGGTAATTTTAACCTCTACGGGGTGATGTGTCATTATTAATCTTGAAGTCACTCCACAAATATAATGACTGAGGTGTGGAGTTTCTTTAGAATAATCCCAAAAATTGCATTTTGGGCAATGCATCACATGATGTTTATTATTATTATTGTTGTTGGTATATAATTCTTAGCTACTAGAATACATATGAGTTCAATATTTATAAAATTGACAGAATTTTCTAAACAATAACTAAAACATGGAAGTATTCTCATGAGTTTTAGTGCTTTTACTATTATGAGTAATTATTTTAAGTCTGACCAGTTTCTCAGACCTGCCACTAAAACGTTATCCATGGCCTGCTTGTGACACTATCATGTTTTATCTGAAAATTGTTAGCTATAGCATTGTGGTCTCTGGCATATTTGACATAATTTCTTAATGGCAAAGAACAAATGTACACCCTTCCAGGAAACCCCCCTTTGTTAGATTTGACTTTTGATATTTTTTGTGAATAGACAGCTTTATTTCTTCCATTGAGCATTACATCCCCCTCTAGGATACACTTGACCTCTGTTCCTTGTTCTTAATACTTTTAAGTAGTTTAGTATTAGTACATTTTTGTGGTCATCCCTTATTGACTGGCTTGTTGTAGCCCTGGAGTGAATATTGTGTTTTTTGACATCTTCAAAACATTTGCTTTCTTTTAATGCAGCAGCACTTTTTTTTTTGTCTCATTTGATTCTTTAAACTTCTAATACGTTTCAATTTGAAGCTGTACGGCTGTCCTTTTATGCAACAGAAAATGGAAGAGCAGAGGCTGAACACTTATTTAAGGCATTTCATATCTCTGATTACACAGAAATAAATAATACAGCCTATGTTGTGTATTTACGTAGATGTCTGTGTGTGCAGCTATGTGAAGCAGAGATTCCTACAGAGAAGGTGGAGCCCAAGGTCCATGTTTTCTACCCGCGTGTTGAGTTTGTTGGATCCTCAAAGACCAACAACATCTCCATCTTGTTGTGGAATATAACTTTTGAAGATGAGGGAGAGTACATCTGTTTCGCTAGAAACCCAAAAGAGAAGAACCGCAACCACAGTGCCATCTTCACCCTCATAGTGGTCGACCAAAGTATGTGACAGATGTGCTGACAACCTGGAACAATGTGCATCTTAGTTACTGCAGTCCATTAAGACAGTGCTCTTTCACATAGACCAGAGAGCTACATGATGTACTGCTGATTTCTGTTATTCTTGCTAATACTGTACTTTTACTCTGCACATTCTTCAAGTTTATGCTCTATCTCCCTGTTTTTAGTGAAGGAGGTTGACAATTCATTGACTACCATTATAGTCTCAGCCGTGGGAGGAGTCATTGGCTTAAGTATCATCATTATGGTGATAAAGGCCTTGGTTGTTCATTTCCTAAGGAAGGATAGTGAAAAAAAGTGAGTATATAACTATTAATGGAGCATTTGAGATTCATTGTTATCATATGTAAAAGACAATGTCTTTGTCATCCAGTGCATCAGTGTCAGTATTCATCATCTGAACATTGTAGTCTACTGCACAGTTACTTTAACAAGAAAAAAAAAACATATTGCGGTTTATTATTTTAAGTAAATTACATTGTTTAACAAAAAATAATTGTGTTTTTATTTTGATTATAAAATTATGTTGACATTGGATAGAACAAATCACAACTATTTGCCTACAACCAAACCATGCTGTTTTTATTAGTTGTTAATTGTACAAGCTGCGTGGTATTATATTTCATGGTTACCCTTGGACTTTATCTCTGTTCCATACTGACTGGCACATGGGTCATTCCGCGTCAGCCCAGCAAAGGTTTAAAAATCTGAGTATTTCCATCATTTTATAAATACAGTATGTTAAATGCAAAAACAATCTGCAGGGCTTGAGTTAGTTTCAATGTTTGAACTTTTTTCAGATTTATCAACAATTAGGAGAGTCCAAAAAAGTTCAATCTGGTCCTCTGGACATTCAAAAAAAAAAAAAAAAAAACAAAGCAAAAAAATCTAGAAACGTTTCGTCTCTCATCCAAGAGACTTCCTCAGTCTGAGGTGCTGTATTCAGCTCAGTCTCTTAAATAGCACCTTCTCAGAGTGGATCAACCAGTTTTGCTGCTGACAACCAAAACCAGCTGATCACATGCTCAAGAAGGACCATCAGCCTAACAATGGATCATTAGCACACTGATGGCTGTTTACTACTCACAGAGGGCACAGAGGTAAACAGTTTCAAAGGATATAAACTTTGACCAACTGACCAAAATTATATGTTTTTTCCCCCCATTGAATCTAGTTTATGTGTTGTTGTTTTTTAGTTTTTTGTTTTTTGTATTTTGAATGTAGACCAGATTAGGACAAAAAAAAAAAAGTGTTTTTAAACTAAATCCTTAACACCACCCAAAACACTCTTCTAGTAGACTGAATAATTTTTCTTGTGATTGTGGGCATGCCTGCAGTTCAACTCTATCCCCAGTAGTAAACATAACATTTTTACTACTTCTTACACACACCTCATTGTAGAAAGAACAGAATCAAAATGAAATGTTATTGATTGTTAAAATAATTTAAGTGCTATATGTCATCATTGTATGTTCCCATACAATGATAAAATTGGTTCTCTGCATTAACCCATCACACCTGATGCACCCAGGTGGAGCAGTGGGCGACTATTGAGCACCCAGAATGAAAATAAGGGATTAGGCGTCTTGCTCAGAGACACGACATGTGGGAATGACTGGGAGTCGAACCGCGACTTTATAGTCCCCAGTCGGCTGCCTTGCCTTTAACACATCTCAGCCCCAATTGATTTGTTCTTTCAACAACAGTTTAATCTTTCTTTAAGGTTCGTGAAATGAAAAGCCCAAAAGGCGAAGTGATTAAAAAAAACCTGCCACCACATTTTGGTTTCCTGCAGACCAGGTTTCATGCATCCATTATCTTTACCCGCTTCTTCCTTTTGTGGTCACGGGGGTCACTGGTGTCCATATTCAGCAGTCACTGTGTGATAGGCGGGGGACACCCTGGACAGGTCTCCAGTCCATCACAGGGACACAGAGACAAACAATCATTCACTCTCTCACTCACACCTAGATACTATTTAGAGTTACCAATCAGATTAACATGCATGTTTTTGGTATGTGGGAGGAAACCCACGCATGCACAGAGAGAACATGCAAACTCCACCCAGAAAGTCCCCAGGCCGGGATTTGAACCAGGGACGACCTGCTTGCTGAGAGGCAGCAGCTCTACCAGCTGCACCACCGTGCTGCCAGAACAAAATGTGAAATAACTGAAAACCATTGTAGGAAAATTAGAAAATGAATTTTGAATTTACAACATGTTTTTATTATTACATGTCTATGCATTCTCATCTTTTTTTTTCTGTTTAGAAGTAAATTCAGGGTGAAAAGTATGATTAAAATCACACCCTGTACTTTGATAAGCTTAAAGTCCATTCTAATGTGACTGTTGGACATTGGTGACATTTATGAATAATTGGAAATACATAGTTTTAGAATGATTAAGGCATTGCTCACCTATTTTTTGTGTTTACAAGGTAAACTCCCAATCAATTGTTTGCTTCTCCCTTATCTGGACCTTTCCTTTCTCTGTCCTCTGCAGTAAAGAGTGCCTGGTGAGCTCCTCAGGGAATGACAACACAGAAAATGGACTTTCAGGAGCCAAAGCTGACAACAAAGGGACACCAAAAGCTTAAGTGAAATGCACAGTATGCCTATGTTTGTATATATGTTAGACAAATGGACATGCTCTACGAAGAAGTTTGCCGGACTGTTTTATTTTAGTAGACTCTAAATAATGCAACTTAAATGTCTACTTTAAACCATGCTTGGCATTTGAGGTGTTAAATGTGCAAAGGGCCTGGATCACTCTCTTACCAACACGGAAGCCCAAAAGTCCCACAATACACAGCCAGTTCTAAAGTGTGTATCTTTGCTTGCTAAAGATTTTATTTAACTTTTTACATGTTTTTATTGCTGCATACAGCTTGAAATTACCTAAATATCTTCCTTTAATGAGCATATTATATTATTATTAAAACTGTTATTGCATCTCAGTAATCACTGATTAGATATTTCAGGATACTGTTTTTTTTTTTTTTAACAATTTTTAAATTTTAACTCACACTGTTTCAGTTTATGGGTATGTTTGCATTTTATTCCTAGGTTTAATACATAATTAGTTCAAAACTGAACTCGAACGAACAAACTACGCAGGCACAATTTGACAGCATGAAAACTATCCATATTGTTTAAAACTGTCTAGACGAACAGCACAAACTTGCAAAAATACACGTCTAAAACGGATACAAATTATGTTTGGTTCTTAAATTAATGCTCACATTTTTCTATGAAAGATTATAAAACCAAAACCACACACACGTTTTATAAACTGTTTTGATAACGAGGGCTAGATGACTGATTAATGGTTTTAACTAAAGTTTACAGAACCTGTTTTGTTTTTCTGCTTTCATGGTTTCTGCATAAATATACGTTCAGTAATGTTTATTAGAACAATATGACAGAAACTAAGGCTGATGACTGGGCTTTCCCTGGGTGACAGAATGATCCAATTCTGCACATATTTTCTTATTTTGCTTTAGATAAACACAGGTGCCTGTTCTGCTTCTGCTCCCTCTGCTGACGGGAGGATAAAACACAGATAATAATAATAACAAAAGTAATAATACCCTAATACTCATCAGACAATCCCCAGACCACCTAGCTCTCTGTACTTTGTAGAAAGGAATGATTTAATCATGTCGCTTCAGATTATTAGCCAATGCATTTTTAGCATGTGCACATTTTCTGCAACTTCATATGAGTACATGTTGCACTGCAATACACAAACATTGCTTTATCTTGGTATTCTCCCATTTAATCGTCCAAAGCAGCTTGAAGTGCTTTAAACTCTCTATGTGCACCTTCCAACATTGCAAAAAAATTATTTCTTTACCCAGGTCAGGGCAATCAAATGGGAATATTTACCCTTATGGCTTCCATGTATCATTGAGATAGCTTCACTGAAAGAGGTTACTTATAAGAAGAGAAGAGAATAATTTATACATATTCAAAACATATAAATATATCTGCACTTCCCAATTTTAGTCATGTAATTGAACCCACCTCGCAGAGGAGTAAGATTTTTTTATTTTTTTTAATGGTAGTAGCAGCAGGATGTACAATTGTCTTACATGCACACACACACACAC